AGAGAGAGAGAGAGAGAGANAAAGAGAGAGAGAGAGAGAGGGAAACGAGGATAGGACGAGGAGAGATATAAAAACGAGGAGGCGCAGGTGGAGGAGGAGGAGGTGGAGCAGGAGAAGGAGAAGGAAGGGAAGAGGAAGAAGGAGAGGAGAGAGAAAAGGGAAGAAAGAAATCGGAAGGAACGCGGTGGTCGTCGACGAAGGAGAGACGCGTGGCATCGGGAGCGTCGATGGATCACGGAGCGATGGATAGCGCTTCTGATCACAGCAGCCGCGCCAGCCCCGTAACCGGCAGCCCCAAACATCCGCACAGCCCGTCGGCTCAGCAAGGACAGCAACAGCTTCACGGGACCCAGCACCAGGCACCGGCGTCCCACCAACAGCCTCATCCGCGGGACCAGATCCGCGAGCAACAATCGCAACAGCAACAGCACCGCGGCGTTCCCACGCCGGGATCGCCAACCAGAGGCTCGCCGCCCCAAGGGCTTCCGTTGAGCCCTCCGCCTCTTTCCGCCGGAGGAGCACCCGGTGCACCGCCAGGCATGGTGCCCCGTATGCCGGGCCTACCGCCACCGGGGCTAGGACTGTTGGGACAACTGGGCGGCATGCTGAGCGGTCATCACGGCTCGCCGCTCGAGCTGATGGCCGCCCATCACGCTGTCCTACCTCCGAGATCGTACAACAGCCCGCCGCCGATCAGCACCAGCGATCCAACGGCCAACGAGTGCAAGCTGGTCGATTACCGCGGGCAAAAGGTGGCAGCGTTCATCATCGCCGGGGACACGATGCTCTGCCTGCCGCAGGCGTTCGAGCTGTTTCTCAAACACCTCGTTGGCGGCCTGCACACCGTCTACACCAAGCTCAAGAGGCTCGATATAGTGCCGTTGGTGTGCAATGTCGAACAGGTTAGGATTCTGCGTGGACTCGGAGCCATCCAGCCAGGCGTCAATCGATGCAAGCTGCTCAGCTGCAAGGACTTCGACATACTCTACAGGGACTGCACAACGGCCAGGTAAGCGGGAATATAGACACGATATACCGCCGTTATTCGGACTAATCCTTATTGCGCGTTTACATTAGTATTATATGAAAAGGGGACGAGAACCGATAACGAGAAATCGATCGATCGACCGTCGGTCCGTTTCTTCGTCGCGTTAGTTTCTCCGCTATATGCTCGCCGTCCCTTTTATATTATACCTCTCCGATACTCGCGATAACTCGCGACGATAACAATGATCCCCGGATAGAGGCAACGACCGTTTTTTCGTTTGCTCGCCCTCGCTTCTTTTTGTACCTTCTTTTTATCAGGAGAGAGAAAGAGAGAGAGAGAGAAAGAACGGAAGCTACGATCCTCGCGTGTATTAATAACGCCCGGTGTCGCCTCTGGGCAGCACTTTATCTTCGCCCAGCTACGTTCCTTACCCCCTTACGTGCTACCGGTCGACCAAAAAAATATTTTAATCGCCCCTTCCTCGTAACATCTTTTACGCTCGTTGTTACATCTTCCTTTCCTCCTCGTCGCTTCGTTCCCAGACTCGTTGACAGACTTTGCGCGCTTTCCCTTCCTAGATACTTCCTCTCGAATCTTCCATTCTTTGCACGACGCTCGAACTCCCTCTTCGTTTCTCGCTCTTCGTTTTCCCGTTCTCGAAACTCCATTCGTCCACGGGAAAAGGAGGCTGTGGTGGCAAAGGCACGCGTGCCCTTGTATCTGGAATTGTCAACGGGCCTCCGTGCCAACAGGTGTCCCTTTCACGGCAGTTTCTCTGAATGAATCGTCCCCACACCGAGCAGACAGAGAGAAGTGGCTGTAGTAGTAGTAGTAGTAGTAGTAGTAGTACAAGCTTACCCCACCCACGAGTCAGAGAGACGGCAGACGAAACGGAATGGTAAACGGAACGAGGGGATCCGCTGTTATCCGGGAAATTATTGTCCCCGACTTTACACTCCTCCCCGGCCCTCCCGCGCACAATTTTTCCCCCCGACTCGGCCCACCGCGACCCGCCACCATCTCGCCAGGATCACGATTCTCGCCTCGATTCTCACCCGATTCGCCCGAGGGTGGACGGGATCGATCGGCCGTGGAGGCGATCGAGCCGAGGGACAATAGTATCGCGGCGAGGCGGCGCGCAGTGGCAGTCGCAACGGAAACGGATTCAGCGCGACACAGAGAGAGGGCGAAGGAGAAAGAGGGCCGAGGGATGGCCTGCGGAGGGAACAGGGACGGACGATCGGAGGAGAGAGCGAGAGAGGAAACGGGAGGAAAGAGAGAGCCGTAGGGACAGGGATTCGAATAATCCGAGTCGCGGCGAGGAGAGCAGAGTTGGCCGAGCCGTCGGCTCGTGCGCGACACCCTTTCGCGCTCTCCCTCTCTCTCGAGATTCGAGAAATACACGAATAAGCGTATAGCGTCTCGCTCTCCTCTTCCACTTTCTACTTTTCTTCACCCGAAGAACGTGGAAACGTTGAAAGAACGCCGGAAACGCGATCTCTTCCTTTCCCTTCGAGCGAAAGTTCGCGCAATTGTATTCGTATATTCATATATATATATCGTGGTAACGAGAAGCAAGGGGGGGACAAAGGTGGTTGGACGAGACGCGGGGTTCGAAAATCGATTGGAAAAACGAGGGGGGGGATCGGCGAGGGAGAATCGCCAGGAAAAATCGGATGATTAAGAGACCGCGGCATGGTTCTCGTGTGCGGGGTGGTCGCGTGTACCGCTGACGTCGTTACATTCTGATAATGCACGGCGGTGGTAACAGCGCGGCAACGGGCTACAACGCACCGATGCTCCAACGGGATGGGAAACGTTGCGTCCGAGCGCGGCCGGTTACAACACGGCTCCGCGCCTCTCTATCGCCATCGATGCAACACCATGCACCGAGAACCGCACCGATAATTCAGGGGGATTTTTCTTGCGGTTTAACAGCGCGGCACCGGGTGTGCTCCAACGTGTGCTCCGCCACGGTGCTCGTCTGTCTCCCCTCCCCCTTGAGAGAGAGGGAGGGAGGGCCAACCGACCGACTCTCTTCAACCCCGGATCGGAAGAGAACGCCCACGCGAGGAAGGAAGGAAGAACGAAGTCTGAAAAGTCGCTTTGTCCCCGATTCCTTTCTTCCTCGATAATGTTACGCGGCTAATTGATGCCACGCTAACGAGACGACGAGCCGGGCCAATTATCGTTCTTCGATTCTTCGCCCGATTCCGCGGAAAGTTGGATTCGTTTCGATCGAACGCAACGCAACGCGGGAGAAGAGAGAGAGAGAGAGAGAGGAGAATGGAGCGAGCGAACGTGTAAGCGTTCGCGATCGCGATAAGAATTGGCGCGCACGAACGAGAGATTTCCTCGTTTCCCTCTTCTTTCCTCTTACCTTAAATGTCTTTCTCGCGTACGCGTACGCGTAACCCACGAACGGAGCAGGATACGTGGGAGTGCGCGCGGCCCTGGACTATAATTCTATGCGCTATTAGCCGTTTAATTATAAAATTGTGCATAGATTAATTGGCTCCCGTAATGGCCCTAACAATGCACAGACGCGCACTCCGAGAGACTAACGGGGAGGAGGGAGAGGGGGATGGAGGGCGAGAGGAGAGGACGTAGACATAGTTGCATCGGGGGAAGAAAGGAGAGCGCGAGTGGGCGAGGAGGTGGAGGAGAGATCGAAAAGAATATAGCGGCGGGAGAGAGAGAGAGAGAGAGAGAGAGGAGGGAGGGAGGGAGGACGGAGGAGGAGGGG